TTTCTCTGGTTTTACGTGTCGGGCTTCAGCTACCTTCAGACCATTTCATCTGGACATCTGTACACAGAGATGCCAACCGTTACAATTTTGGCGTAATAGTTACAATTTTGGCATAATAGTTACAATTTTGGCGTAATAGTTACAATTTTGGCGTAATAGTTACAATTTGGTGTAATAGTTACAATTTTGGCGTAATAGTTACAATTTTGGCGTAATAGTTACAATTTTGGCTTAATAGTATCAATTTTGGCATAATAGTTACAATTTTGGCTTAATAGTATCAATTTTGAGCTAATAATTACTCTATTAGGCTTGTCCTCCTTCAAATCAAATTTTTTGCCATGAATTATTTAGATTTATAAATATCCTGGAGAGCAAATTGTAAAATTAAATTCAATTAAAACACCAGTGATTACTGATTACTGCTCTGATTACTCCAAAGCTTCAATTTGAGTTGGCATCTCTGTAGATATATTTATGTTGGTTGACATGTTTCATGTAAGAAGTGTCAATTAAAAGTCTTTTAACGGTGATGGTATTTTTTCATGTTAGAAGTGTCAATTAAAAGTCTTTTAGTGGTGTTGGTATTTTTTCATGTTAGAAGTGTTAATTAAAAGTCTTTTAACAGTGTTGGTATTTTTTCATGTTAGAAGTGTTAATTAAAAGTCTTTTAACGGTGTTGGTATTTTTTCATGTTAGAAGTGTTAATTAAAAGTCTTTTAACAGTGTTGGTATTTTTTCATGTTAGAAGTGTTAATTAAAAGTCTTTTAACGGTGTTGGTATTTTTTCATGTTAGAAGTGTTAATTAAAAGTCTTTTAACAGTGTTGGTATTTTTTCATGTTAGAAGTGTTAATTAAAAGTCTTTTAACAGTGTTGGTATTTTTTCATGTTAGAAGTGTTAATTAAAAGTCTTTTAACGGTGTTGGTATTTTTTCATGTTAGAAGTGTTAATTAAAAGTCTTTTAACAGTGTTGGTATTTTTTCATGTTAGAAGTGTTAATTAAAAGTCTTTTAACAGTGTTGGTATTTTTTCATGTTAGAAGTGTTAATTAAAAGTCTTTTAACGGTGTTGGTATTTTTTCATGTTAGAAGTGTTAATTAAAAGTCTTTTAACAGTGTTGGTATTGTTTCATGTTAGAAGTGTCAATTAAAAGTCTTTTAGTGGTGTTGGTATTGTTTCATGTAAGAAGTGTTACTAAAAAGTCTTTTAGAGGTAATTTTTGTATATATTTGCATAGATATGGTATATTATGAATTGTGTACTGTTGATTGTTAGTTTATTTGATGACAATGCTTGTCTGATACTGTAAACCCTCCAGTACAGGTAGCGCTGCATACGTTGAGGGAACACGGTTCCAGAGTTTTTTCACCAATGTTTTTTTCTCTGGTTTTACGTGTCGGGCTTCAGCTACCTTCAGACCATTTCGTCTGTACATCTGTACACAGTGATGCCAACCGTTATGGTTTGACGTAATAGCCTAAAATTACACAAATCCCACAAATTACGATTTTTGTCATTTGTTTAACGAATTATTTAGATTCATGAAATATCCTGGAGAGCAAATTTTTAAAGCATCGCTGATTACTGATTACTGCCCTGATTACTCCGAAAGATTCAGTTTTGGTTGGCATCTCTGTAGATATGTTTATGTTGATGAAGATGCTGTCTGTTTTTCGTTCTCTGTCGGTGTTTGTAGCTGCATTGGAATTGTTTCATGTCGGAAGCATTAATAAAAAAAGCTGCGTGCCACACAGTTGTATTTGGTTCATGTTGTTGATTATGGGTCAATGTGGACAGTCTAGGAAATTTTCAAATGAGATAGGTTGGGCCAGACAAAGATTGTCCAGGTTTTAAGTGTTGTTACAGGAGTCATGAAACAGTGAACTTCTGCAGTACTGTGCTCTCTGCAAGCCAAGTACATCTCTGTATGAAGACAACAATTCTGCAAAATATATTCCATGACTGCGAAATCCACTTGTTTTTACTTGTGATTGAAAGTTGTTTGATGCCAGTCAGCAATATTAACAACAACAAGGCTATCCATTTATGTTGTGATATAGTTCCACACTACCAAGGGCTGTAAACGCTACATCTATATTACAATGGATCAGTGTCCACTCGACTTTCAGTCTCAGCTCCCTGGGGAGTGTTCAAGTTTCATCACAACTTCTGGATCTGTCAACCCAGTGGTTAATAGCATGCACACCACCATGACATCAGGCTATGATGACACACAATAAACCCACTCACACTACAACCACCAATTCCTTTTAGTGACCAACCATTTAGTTTTCTTGGTGGGGCTGTGATTTTTGTTGGACACATAATATGTTTTGAGTCACTGCTTCAAGACTTTGTTTCTCTGAAAGTAGAGCTTTTTTTTTTACCAATTTCCAGCACAAATATTTTGTTTGTAAAAAGTGAGGCAAATTATTTTTTTCAGTGTAATATGAACCAAAACATCTCCCAAACCAAGAAAAATGTCAAATGGTCGGCAACTAAATGGTTTGATGACCATGATGTAAGCCACTGGATTGTCTGCTCCAGACTCGATTATTTACAGACCACTGTCAAGTAGCTGGAATCTTACTGGTTGCAGTGTTAAACAGCAAACAAACAAACAAACAGTCCACTATGTTTTGATGATGAGTCTTATGATAGAAGGGAGACAACTCTTAGTCTCTTGGCTGAGGTTCCAGAGTCCAGTGATCTGAGAGTGTGAGGTGAGGTGTGGTGAGGTGAGGTGAGTTGTGGTGAGGTGTTGTGAGGTGAGGTGAGGTGAGGTGTGGTAAGGTGTGGTGTGGTGTGGTGTGGTGTGGTGTGGTGAGGTGAGGTGAGGTGTGGTGAGGTGTTGTGTGGTGAGGTGAGGTGAGGTGAGGTGAAATTGGGTTTAACGTCGCATCCAAGATAATTGCACTTATTTAGCGACGTGCATGTGTAGCAGCCATAAAATTGCCGAGTCCCATGATGGGATTCGAACCACAGACCTTCTGTTCTGAGGTCAGACGCCTTATCCACATGACCAAAGAGGTTAACCCTGTCAGCAATTGACAAGGTAAGGATGTCATCTGTGGGATGACTCCACGCCCTGCTACACATGCATGTGTGTGGCTACTTGTACTAGTCTGGAATGATGCCGATTTATAGTGCTAGCTCACTGAGATACCATGCCACAGTTTAACATGAATACCCCACTCAGACACAGTATACTGACTCCGAGCCAACCAGTCCTTGTTTTCGCTCCTTAATGCTGAGCGCCAGACAGGGTAACAACAAGTACCACCTTACAGTCGGGCTTCAACTAAAGACAGCGTGTTGACAGAAGTCATGAGAGACACAATGGAAGGATGGCCTGACCAGCCAAGTCAAGTTAGTAGTCAAGCAACACAACATCAGACATACAGAGAGGAATTGACATGTCTGGATGGTTTAGTGTTTAAAGGACACCTACTGGTGGTACCAAATAGTAGCAGAAAAGAAATGCTTGAGAGAATTCATAGTTCACACCCGGGAGGAGTGAAATGTAAGAGCCGAGCAGAAGTCCTATTTTAGCCCGGGGAGGCCACAGGTATTGAGAGAACTGTTGCATCGTGTGAAATATGAGCCAGATATCAGAAAGGAAACCCAGCTGAAATACAGATTTCATCAGAAATTCCTCCCAGACCCTGGTCGAACGGAAGTTCACATATATTAACTGTTGATTATTTCTCCAAGTGGCCAGAAATGGTTCGGCTCGAAGATACAACCTGTCAAAGAGTAATTCTTCACCTGGAGAGACAGTTCTGCAGGTGTGGCATTCCAGATATCGTCATGAGCAACAGCGCCACAGTAGTTAAGTTCGGAATTAAAGAAATTCGCCGCAGAATACGACTTCAGGGTTAGAAACTAACAGTTTTTGTCCACTAGTCCTTATAATGATAACATATAGCAAAACCCTTTAAATGGGCCAATTCCTTAGGATACCTTTACTATTGGGCAGTTTGGTAAGGACTACAGGACTAGTGCCAATTTCTAACGCTGGACTTCGAACATGCTGGACTTCGAACAAATCACTTCTAACAGACAAGCTGAGAGGACAGTCCAAACAATTAAGAATGTTCTGAGGAAAGCATCTGATCCTTAAAGTCCTATCGAAGGGATAGGAAAGTCTCCAGCTCAATTATTCTTGGGGAGGAGATTGAGAGGAACTGTACCAATGTCAAACCCATTACTGAGCACTGAACATACAGAGCAAGACAGAAACCTACTCCAGAAGAGACAAGTCAGTCAACACAAACATTACAAAGGTAACACTGATCTGAAACCACTAGATTGGTTGGTTGGTTTGTTGTTTAATGCCGCACTCAGCAATATTCTAGTTATATGACGGCAGTCTGTAATTAATTGAGTCTGGACCAGACAATCCAGTGATTGATATCATGAACATCGATCCACGCAATTGGGATCGATGACATGCATCAACCAAGTCAGCAAGCCTGACCACCTGATCCCGTTAGTCGCCTTTTACGACAAGCATAGTCACCTTTTAAGGCAAGAATGGGTTGCTGAAGACCTATTCTACCCCGGAATCTTCACGGGTTGAAACCACTTACCACTAGAAGCAAGAGATAGAGTCATGGTAAGAGGAGATAACTCCTGGATGCCTGCCAGAGTAGTACAGAAACATGCCACACCCAGATCGTACATCGTACAGTCAGAGACCGGAGGCACCTACAGATGACATCGCCTTGACCTCAGAGAAACAGTAATCAGTAAACCCATCGTACCAGACATCACCATACCAGCACGGAGTATGCCAGCACCGAGTATGCCAGCACGGAGTATGCCAGCACCGAGTATGCCAGCACGGAGTATGCCAGCACGGAGTATGCCAGCACGGAGTATGCCAGCACGGAGTATGCCAGCAGGGAGTATGCCAGCACCAAGTATGCCAGCACCAAGTATGCCAGCACCGAGTATGCATGAGTATGCCAGCACGGAGTATGCTAGCACGGAAAATGCCAGCACTGAGTATGCCAGCACGGAGTATGCCAGCACGGAGTATGCAGGCACGGAGTATGCCAGCACCGAGTATGCCAGCACCAAGTATGCCAGCACCGAGTATGCCAGCACAGAGTATGCCAGCATGGAGTATTCCAGCATGGAGTATGCCAGCACGGAGTATGCCAGCACAGAGTATGCCAGCACCGAGTATGCCCGCACGGAGTATGCATGAGTATGCCAGCACGGAGTATGCCAGCACGGAGTATGCCAGCACTGAGTATGCCAGCACCGAGTATGCCAGCACCGAGTATGCCAGCACAGAGTATGCCAGCATCGAGTATGCCAGCACCGAGTATACCAGCACCGAGTATGCAAGCACCGAGTATGCCAGCACCGAGTATGCCAGCACCGAGTATGCCAGTATGCCAGCACGGAGTATGCCAGCACGGAGTATGCCAGCACCAAGTATGCCAGCACCCAGTATGCCAGCACCGAGTACGCCAGCACCGAGTATGCCAGCACCAAGTATGTCAGTATGCCAGCACAGAGTATGCCAGCACCCAGTATGCCAGCACCAAGTATGCCAGCACCAAGTATGTCAGCACGGAGTATGCCAGTATGCCAGCACGGAGTATGCCAGCAACGAGTATGCCAGCACCAAGTATGTCAGTATGCCAGCACCGAGTATGCCAGCACCGAGTATGCCAGCACCGAGTATGCAAGCACCAAGTATGCCAGCATGGAGTATGCCAGCACCGAGTATGCCAGCACGGAGTATGCCAGCACGGAGTATTCCAGCACGGAGTATGCCAGCACAGAGTATGCCAGCACAGAGTATGCCAGCACAGAGTATGCCAGCACCGAGTATGCCAGCACCGAGTATGCCAGCACGGAGTATGCCAGCACGGAGTATGCCAGCATCGAGTATGCCAGCACCGAGTATGTCAGCACCGAGTATGCCAGCACCGAGTATGCAAGCACCGAGTATGCCTGCACCGAGTATGCCTGCACCGAGTATGCCAGCACCGAGTATGCAAGCACCGAGTATGCCAGCACCGAGTATGCAAGCACCGAGTATGCCTGCACCGAGTATGCCAGCACCGAGTATGCCAGCACCGAGTATGCCAGCACGGAGTATGCCAGCACCGAGTATGCCAGCACCAAGTATGCCAGCACCAAGTATGCCAGCACCCAGTATGCCAGCACTGAGTATGCCAGCACCGAGTATGCCAGCACCAAGTATGTCAGTATGCCAGCACAGAGTATGCCAGCACCCAGTATGCCAGCACCAAGTATGCCAGCACCAAGTATGTCAGTATGCCAGCACCAAGTATGTCAGCACGGAGTATGCCAGTACTCCAGCACCGAGTATGCCAGCAGCATCACGTTATGTCGTCATGTCAAAGTCACCAATTGTAACAACCTGTCCGTCAACTTCGACCATGACATCCAAGTTGTCCATGGAGTCAACGCCAACCAAACAAGTACCAGTCAACCGGCCGACATTGCCAGCCAAGACCGTAACCAAGAGTGGCCGAGTTGTCGTTAAGTCTGCCAGGCTGAGAGACGAATCAGAGACTTTAATTTCATGACATTCAGAATGACACATGTGTCTTCTAGGACTTTCAGATGACATATGTGCCCTCTGTGACATTCATAATGAAATGTGTCTTCTTTGACATTCAGAATAACACGTCTTCCATGACATTCAGAATGACATATGTGTCTTCTATGACATTCAGAATGACACATGTGTCTTCCATGACATTCAGAATGTCAAGTGTCTTCCATGACATTCAGAATGACATGTGTCTTTCATGACATATGTGTCTTCTATGACATTCAGAATGACACATGTGTCTTCTATGACATTCAGAATGACATATGTGTCTTCTATGACATTCAGAATGACACATGTGTCTTCCATGACATTCAGAATGTCAAGTGTCTTCCATGACATTCAGAATGACATGTGTCTTTCATGACATATGTGTCTTCCATGACATTCAGAATAACATATGTGTCTTCTATGACATTCAGAATGACAATTGTGTCTTCCATGACATTCAGAATGACATGTATCTTCCATGACATTCAGAATGATACATGTGTCTTCTTTTACATTCAGAATGACACGTGTCTTCCGTGACATTCAGAGTGACATGTGTCTTCCATGACATTCAGAATGACACGTGTGTCTTCCATGACATATGTGTCTTCCATGACATTCAGAATGACACATGTGTCTTCGGTGACATTCAGATGACATATATGTGTCTTCTTTCACATTCAGAATGACACATGTGTCTTCCATGACATTCAGAATGACACATGTGCCTTCCACAACTTTCAGAATGACACGTGTCTTCCATGACATTCAGAATGACACATTCGTCTTCCATGACATTCAGAATGACACATGTGTCTTCGGTGACATTCAGATGACATATATGTGTCTTCTTTCACATTCAGAATGACACATGTGTCTTCCATGACATTCAGAATGACACATGTGCCTTCCACAACTTTCAGAATGACACATGTGTCTTCCATGACATTAAGAATGACACATGTCTTCCATGACATTCAAAATATTCAAATCAAAGATATGGAAAGATATGATCGTTAATATTAAGGTGGTATAGTGTATATTTATGGGCAGGAAGTTCATGATTAAAACCTAAACGATCATATCTGTGCGCAATTTCTTGTCTACCCGTTGTCCTACATGCTCGCCCGTTTAGACAAATAACGGCTACTTTTTTTCATATGAAATGACTTTGAGTCATGTGTGATTGCTCGAACTACCTGACCGTGTGAATGACTTGCCCTCCCTAACTGTTTCACATTTTCTCGCAAAAGGAGATTTCAAAAGTATGGCCACGACATCTAATGTGAGTCGGTGCCATATTGTAAACAAATTGTGTCAAGGCCGGTTTTAAATGTGGTAGCTCGGTCCCCGTTTCTGTCGAGGGTACACGCAAAAACATTAACATAAACTTCTACAATGATGACAGCAATACCTTTTTGCAATTGGGTTAACCGCTTAAGGATACGATGTGCTGTAAAGTTCGATTTGGATTTCTTTTTCTTTTCATTCAAACTGTGATGATGGCGCTATGACTGGTTTGCTGAAATAGTATTTTCCGTGTACATGCTGTGATTGTACAAGATAATTGATAACCAATTGTGTATGCATATATATCATCAAATACACATTACTTATCTCTTCAGAAAATAGAATATATTATCAGCTCGTATTTCCAACATTCTGCCATGGATATTAGATCTAATATTAATATTAGATTCACAAATTATTGATGTATACTGTATTCTTGACTAATGTATGATAATCTATTGCACGTCTTAAACTCTTATTTGATATGTCATCTGAAATGTCAGCAATGAGTAAACTTAATTTTATTTCATTACAATCTGCAATTTTATTCGAATAGTCTTATAGACGGTGGGCGATTTCCCGCCGCTGTGAATATGTTGTCTGGACAGGTGCGCGTGATTTGACCTCACGTGTTGTGACGTGGAGAACGTCACATTAAACAGCTGATCTAATGGTTGTGGTAGTGTAATGGATTCACATGGTTTCATTTTCCAAATAACAGTATTCTCTTTGACTGAACTAGAAAGCATATCTAGTACATCACGATTGGAAAATGTCTACGGCGACCAACGACTGAATGAGACCGCTTAACAGTGTTAGAATATTTTGCGCAGTTTTCTAATTTTGGTATGTTGACCTGTGCTTTTCGTATCTGTTTGAAGGCTTGATATTCCAAAAAAATAATGTGCATTTAGTTGAGTAAGGGAATGTATTTTTTTACTGTGTGAAAGCTGTCAAAATGGATCCAATATTAAACAACCTAGATTTTTAATATTTTAGCTTCATCTATTAGAATTTCGAATGGTTCAATTTATAACATCAACAGTAAAAATAATTGTATCTACTAATAATATATAGATAGTCTATTTTTGAAAGACAAAATGTTTTCAGTGTTAATGTGATTTCGTTTTGATGTTTTATCTGGTTTTATTTATGTCTTTTATCCAAATTACCAAATACTTCAATCTGTTACATAGTAGTAATTTAATTACTTTATTTGTATCCTTAGTATGAAATAGATTTTTTTTAAATGAATATTTGTCTAACAGCAAAATCAAAGCATTCTTGTGGTTCTTTTTTCACCATTTTAATTTGTATTTCTTCCCTCCAAGCTGTAGTTTAGCTGGGCCAAAATTAAGATTGAGTGAGTGAATATTTAAAGTCACATCGGCAATATTTCAGCCATATAGTGACTATATCAAATTAGACAATACATTAATTTAGAATATAAACCTGTCAACAAAGGACAGTAAAAGTACTAGTTTATCACATATGTCGGTTTAAAACTAGTAAATGATCATAAAACTTCACAATTCATATAATACAATACATTACAATACAACGTAAAAATTGGGCTATAGATCACCAGCAACCAAAAGGTAGGTCACCATACCGGGGACCATGGGGGCTTACAGTACCTTTGCTTCCTGCATGGACCCCAGCAGGTTTTACACCATCCCTTTAGTTATTGGTGATTATGGAGAAATTTAGCCAAAATTAAAACAAACAAATATTCTACGATTAAAAACCTGGTATACATAAATTACTTCGAATGAAGTGGGTTTACGCACCCTCTCAGGGGGACAATAATTTTACGCTACTTCAACCCTCATCAAGGGTACAACCACTAACAATCTCAGTTCATAATCATATACTACCAATTGATAAAATAAATAAATTTATACATCAAAATTTATTAATCAATTCAATTTCTTTTAAAAATCCAAGAATTAAATGAGAGTTGAGGTTAAAAAGATCCTTTATAGATGAAACGTTGAAATATTGATCCCTTGTGATGGAAAAATCAATACAGTCAAGCAGGACATGCTTCACCGTGACCAAAATTAAGAAAAAAAGGAAAGATATAATAACTGAAAACCATTTATATAAAAGATTTTGCTGGTTAAATTTTCGAAGTTCAATTCCAAGAATATATTTTTCCTTTTATGACAAATAATTCCATTACTTTCATTGACCTGCGATCATTATCTATTTCAAATTTTCCCTTTAGTAGAATGGGATGGAATGGGAAACTACTGGAAATAAACTATCACGTATATGTCCTTAAATGTACAAGTACATACCCAACAAGCTGTAAATACACTTCTAAAGTCGTATTTATGGATCAATAGGAAAGAAAAAAGTGGTATTTCATGGACTGGCAATACCAGTTTATTTTGAACAAAGGTCTAAGTAAGGCAGCCTAGTGCGAAATACTAGCTGAGACGAGGATGTATGTTTTCTTTTGGTCATAGTGAAACACTGACATATGGCGCCCGAGTTGTGAGTGATTGAAAATAGGTTTGTTGAATAGATTTGCTGCCCATGAAAACATTTCAAATTTTTTTATTGAATCTATATGTACATACTCTTGGATGGTATTACGTTAGTATAATCTTGTTAATTATTGAGAAATAATAATGATGCCCGATATTGAGCGATGTCAATTTGAGTATTGTTAGGGCTGTTTAGCGATCTTTCACATTTTTTGTCCTTTGAAAATGTACGATGTCAATTACCCAGAAGTTGATTTTATAACTAATAAAAGAGCACGGTCACTGAAACATACATGGGCGTCACCAGGATTTCTTCAAGATATACATTTCAAACTGTCATTCGTTTTGAGACATTATCTTTGAAACAGTCTGCATATGAATTAATCATGACCACTTCTGTCAATTTCGTTTTGACGTAAAACACATGCACAATTTCATCGGGATATTTTATCGGTAAATATAACTCATGGGAAATTCTCAGTGAATGTGTACTTCAACATAAATGTCATATGTCTATCACTGTTAGGTCATGTGCTTACAATTATATGAATTATTGGACATTTCGATTTCAAATGAGGTTTCTTACTCGACTTTGCTTGCCATATTCGGGTGCTTCCACTTTAGGATTTATGTGTTGGAAACTTATAATACCAGCACCTTTATCAACAGGTCCGGGTTACCCCTGAAACGAGCTATAATAGATGAAATGAGCTATAAAAGATGAAATGAGCTACAATACCATAGATCAAAACAAGGGAGTGTGCCTTTAATGCATACTTCCGCAAAGCGGTTGTCAGGCATGAGTTCGACTGAGAAATGCAAATTCATATTATGCACAGACGAAAAACCTCGCACCTACATAAGAGCGACTGTCGACGTGTAATAAACGTCCAAATACACAAGCAATGCACTAAATACAAAAATAAACCCACAAAACGCTGAAATTTACCTTCCAAACTCACACGAAGCACACATGGGTAGCCGACATCTGCAATGGGTTAATGCGCATGACCGGATGTCTGGTGACATATCGTATTTTCCGCAAAACAAATAAAAAATAGTCGACAACAACAAATTCTACGTTGATGTGTAGGGGACAAAATAAGAAAGTAGTTAGGAACAGATAATATTTGTTGCCTTTCCGTGGATTGCAAT